AAAAAAAAAACAAGTACTCATCTAACTTTTTAGGAAAAAATATTGCTATAGAAGTATTGAAAATAATGAAAAAAAATTAATGAAAGAAATTATTTATGAAGTAAACATCTATATTAATTAATATCACTTTATTAACGTAACAAATATATATCAAGCTACCTAATTCTATTAACATATTCAAATCTATTCTTAAAGATTGACCAGTTAGCTCTATGATATATATTCATTTTCTATCTTAAGCAACAAAATAGATATTAAATTTAATTTATGCATACAAGTTGATTCTTGGTTGTCATCAGGATATTTATTGGTTTCTGGGCTAATATATATAAAAAAAAATGAGCACTAGTGAACTGTAATGTTTATTTGGTTGAGTTGAGTGGAATAATAATTAAAACAAATAAAATTGTGTAATCCATATCATTTTTTTATGACAACATTACTCTTTCTAATTATAAATAAGCACATATCTAACCCAACTATGTTGTAACATTTTTATGTTACTATTATAATAATTAAAACAAATAAAATTGTGTAATCCATATCATTTTTTTATGACAACATTACTCTTTCTAATTATAAATAAGCACATATCTAACCCAACTATTTTGTAACATTTTTATGTTACTATTGACAGTTCAAAACACTCATTTCTATCCAGGAACCAAACATCTAAAGGAAAGGAAAAAAAAAAAAAATCCTAATATCAGCCGGTCAACACGAAATCATCGTTGTCCAGAAAACTAACATCCGCTTCCTCAACAGAGTATGAGTGGAGTTGCTACCGGTGTTGCCGATGACCTTGACCGAGCCACAGAAGCAGTTGACCGTGTGGCCGATGAGCATGATGTGCTCATCCCACGACATGAATGTGTGTAGTCAATAACATTGAAGACCAATAATTTAGATAAAATAACATCACAACCTTTACACCTACCTGACGAATTTTCTAACATGAAAACATCAGAAATCAACTAGTCATAAACTTGAAAACAACTTCATAAATACGCTAAATTAACTGAATCAAATACCAATCAAGACAACTACTTAAAGCCTTCAAAGCAACAAATCGTATGCGAAATTTTGATTGATAAAAAAAATTATAAAAAAATATTTATCCAAAAATAAACAAATTTGAGAGACAAAAAAAAATCTTAAAAGAACCAAAATTTGAGATTTTATCTCCATGATCCCGACAGCTACCATCAACGTTGCTCTATGCGGCCGATCAATTTCAGATGGCTTTCGGATGACAGCGATCGGCAGTCATGAGTCAAGCATAACAAAGAAGAGGAGACACACAAAAAAAAAGCCATAACTTCCCCTTTCGTTCAGGTCGACTCCTGAGGCCCAGTTTCCTCCTCCTCCCCTCAACCCATACACTCAACCCATACCCCTCCAAACCCACAAGCCTCTTTCCTTGCAGCTTGCTTCCAGCCACCGACGACCACCTCCCATGCCGCCTCTCCGGCAGCCACCACTACCACTCGTTTGGTGTGTAGGTTCTGTTGAATGACCCTTCTATTTATAAAGGGGGGAGTGCTCATTTTTCAACAAATGAGGCGGCCTCCATTCTTTCTTTTTTTTTTTTTTTTTTGTGTAAGATTTGATGTTTTGTGTAAACACAGAAAGCTTATCAATATATGTTCTCAGACGACTTTATTTATTTATTGGTTTCTTGATGCAGTACACACGGGTGATCAATTCGAAGGTGGCTTCTTCATCCTGGCATATCGAAATAAGAATTTCAATATATAGATATATACACACGATAATAAAGAGTATTGTATGTAGTCTCTGTAATAAGGAAACTACGCAAGCTACTCGTTTTTGGTTGGCTGATATTCTAGTTCGGATCTGCTGATTGGAGCCGTTGCCCCAAAAATTCCCATGTCTTTCTTGGCGGTGATTTCAAACAAAAAAGGGGTGAAGTCAAAGAGTTCCTTCGGGAAGGCTTGTTCCCCCTGCTGACTAAGCCAAGGTTCAGTAGTCGCTAAGTGCACGGGTAAGGCGAAGACGAGAGGAAGGATGGCGTCAACTTTTGCTCCCGAATTTTACATAGTTTCCTTATTACAGAGACTACAATACTCTTTATTATCGTGTGTATATATCTATATATTGAAATTCTTATTTCGATATCCCAGGATGAAGAAGCCACCTTCGAATTGATCACCCGTGTGTACTGCATCAAGAAACCAATAAATAAATAAAGTCGTCTCGGAACATGTACATCATTTTTCTTTTTAAAAAAAAAAAGAAGAAACGACGAAAAATGGGAAACAATCATCTAAGAATCATATTTGGCTTAGAAAAAAAAAACAAGGAAAATCATCCTATAAGAATATATTATTGAGAAATGTGATTGGTTAAATAGTGAAAGTTGTCGAATAAACAGTGGCAAGTTTTGATAATTTTGAAAAATCACATACATGCATGTGAAGTGCGAGGCCAAGGATGGTTAATTCACCGCATGAACTAGAGAGAGTGGCAGCATGTTGCATGACACTAGCTGCATTGGGTGGGTCTAAACTCCATAAATAATTGCAGGTAGATATAATCTTTTGAGAATCTGTTGGCGGTCACATAGGCTTCTTGACAACATTTCTTAAGGTATCAAGTGGAGAAGGAAGGAGTTTATCAATGTGAACATCAGGGGAAGAGGTAGTTAAGGCTACAACATGAGCAATCATAACGACTACCATTAATGTCGTCGACCTCATCGCTCTTTTTTTTTTTTTTTTTTCTCAACCATTTTTTTTCTTTCTAAAATTCACCTTGGAGTTGAGTGAAAGTCTTCCACCTATTTATAAGCTTTAACAAATGATGTTAGGTATGATGTGACTATTGTTTTACAAGTAGCACAAAAATCGGTCAAAGTCATGATGATGTATATGGTTTACAATTTTGCTATAGATGTTGGACTTGACAAGCTACTTTGTGCTTTATTTTATACTATTTGCGATGTTTTCATGATGTCAAAAGAACATAATTACACATTTGTCGTACTCAATTGTGTCTTAAAGTCATTTTTGTAAAAAAATAAAAAAAAAAAAAAAATGTAGAAATATTTTACAATTGAATTTTTCATTAGAATATTTTTATTTTCTTGTAGTGGAATTTTATGATCACATGTGAAAACACTATCGTTTTTTAACTCTTTCTGAACAATGCTTTTTCTTTTAAAAAAAGTGTGCGATTAATAAGAGTCAGGGCCAACTTTTATCACATTTTAGCATATTCTTGTAGAAGTCGATGTCCATTTATTGCCAGTTGTACATA